CCCAACCCCAAACCCAAACCCAAACCCAAACCCAATCTAGGAATACATCTACAACAATTATTCATCCTTGACTTTTAATTCATATTCCAATTTTAGGTTTTCATTTTACTCTTTTTCATAGTTTTAATATAATTCTTAATATTGAGCACTTTACTTTTAAAGTTCCAAATTAAAGTATTCCCTCTACTTTTTTTGTTAATCATTAATAGGCAACTATACTTAATCTATGAATAAATTAATAAATTATTAAAAGCTAAAATTTGGTTAAGTCAAAGAGGGTAATGAACTAATTTATTCAAGATGGCTTGATTATTCAGATTATTGTTTTAATCTTAACTTAATTTTTTTTTAATATCATCAATAATTTAATCTAGGTAATCATCAATTTTATTGAATGAAGACTAATAACTAATCTAAAAATTATAAATTACCTTAACTTTTTATTGCACTCCATTGATACATATCTCTAATCCCAACTATTCTTAGTGTTCTTGCATAACGATGATCGATAAAATAAATTATTTTATTATTGAAATATAATGAATTTCTATTAAAATTAAGATATTAGAAAAATAATTCACAATCATTTATTTATTAGATATTATCATTAAATTTATACTCCATATGTTTAAACACCTTAACTTAAGTCTAATAGACTTACTTATTTTTGGATTAATAATTAATAAAAGAAACACACATAAAATATATAAGTATATGAAATTTCTATTCATATATTATGATTTATATAAGTTAAACTAAGGAATTAATGAATTTTAGAACTTATTCAATTTTATTAAAATATCATAAAAATAGATTTCAGATCTAAAAGTAGCAAATTATGGGATGTACAAGATTCAATATATAAAAATCTATTTTACCTCAATTTTGGTGCTGTTTCATTTACTGATATAATGAATGAATTTCTATATTGAACTTAAATTTACAATTATAAAAATTGTTTGCATAAAAAAAATAAAGTTCTTCTAATAATCCAAATAATTCAATTTTAGTAATTAAAATAACCCACAAAAAATTGAATTGATTAACTTCTACTTGTAAAAATTAGTTACGAAATCAATTACTTATATCTAAAAAATGCATATTTTTTATTTTTATACATTTTTGCTTCGTTATAATAACATTTGATTTTAATTTGATTATTTAATTCTGAAATGAATTTTTGTAATTCAAAGCTATTGAAATGGAAAAAAACTTTTATAATCTTGTAAACTTGGAATCACACATAGATTGGTTAGATTTTATTTTTTATTAATGTAAAAATATGAAAAAAGTTCAAAATAGGAAAGATATTATTTTTTTGGTTCAACTAAAACTTTTAGAATATGAATTGTTAACAAAAAAAATAGAAAGTATAAGCTTTAGATTAGATTATTTAATGAAATATAATGTTAGTAGGAGAGTTGCTAGTAAATATTAATAAATTAAAGGTAAATAGCGTTTTAATTAGATGAAATAATTGGATATAGTGGAAGATGGATTGAAACTTATTAGGACATGAATATTCAATAGATAGTTTTCATAAAGTATAAAAAAATTGTTATCTAAATAATTAGGAAATTCAATCTAATTATTTGATATTTAGATATTTTTAAATTAATTTAAAATTTATAGATGACAAAATAAAACAAAAGAGTAAATTTTATGCATAAGCTTTGAATAAAACTGGAACTTAATTGTTATCTGTGTGTCATTCTGATAGTAAAGTATGGAATATGATTGATAGTAAACTTATTAATCAATTTTATCAAGACATACTAAAGATATATGTCGTTTAAATCTAGTAAAATATAAGATAGAGTTATATCAAGTAAGAATGATTAAACAATAATTTGTTTGAAATAAATTTTATAAAATGAATGGAAGCATCATAACAGGATGTAAAACAAAAAGAATGGATATGAACTTTGATACTTAATAATTAAAAAAAATTATTACATTCACAGGAGAAGATTAAAAAATTATAGTTTAGAAAAGTAGATTTAATTAAATTTAAATAAGACATATATTCGAAAAAAATACTAAATATAAACTTGCTCTGAGTTTAAATGAATGTTCGGATAAGGAGATTAATGTTATTATAAATAAGTATTTATGGTAATTCATTAAGTTTTAAATCGTTTTGGTTGTCTCATATTATATCATTAAAAATAATAAATTTATATGGATATCTTATAGTTAAGAGATAAATTGTATTCGGAATGTTTTATAAAAATGTTTTATAGGAATCAACAGAAATTTAAAATAAAAGATATAATGAATTACGATAAATATATTGTATTAATGGATTAATTATATATAAATATATTATTATTGAAAAATATAGAAAAGTTATCTCTATATAAGCTCTTTGATGTTAATAGCTTACTTAAAATTTACTTATAATTTATTTTAATTTACAGGTTTTGGAATAATTTTATCTATGCCTAATGTTGAAACTTTAATGTAGTTTTTTTATGTCTCATATGCTGATCAAATAAAAATTTGTAGATTATTATATTTAAAATCTAATATATTAGTATAAAATTTACTTGCATACTTGTTTGAAATCCATCCATTCCAACATTTCAATATCCATAAAAATGAACTATAAATTTAAAAAGTGATTGAATTTTAAGTTTTACTTTTTCAATAGCTTGAAATCCATCAAAAACTGAATCTGCTTTAATATTATAATTTTTAAGCAACGTATTCAAAGCTATTTAATGAAATGGTTTTTCATCTACTACTAAAACATGAGTACAATATTAACAAATTAATTTTTCCTCTTAAATTCTTTAATGATCTATATTTTTAAAAGATGATATATTTTTATGAAAAAAATATTCAGGACTTTCAGGCATTAAGATTACTTATTTTAATTCAAAACCATTTAACCTAGAAGTGGCCTATTAAGTCTCTGAATTTTATTCTTAAATTATAGAAAATGAATTATATATTTCTTTAATTAAATTTTTATTAGATAAATAAAAAGATAATTGATAGGCATTCTAATTAAATTACTAATTAACAACTTGAAATGAAACTAAAGATCCTTCATTTTTTATGGATCTTATAATTAATTAATTATTTTCAGATTCAGTCAACCCTTAAACAAGTTTAGCTACAATACTCAGTCCTAATCCCTTCTTTTCACTTTCAGAATTTGAATTCTAAATTGTACCAATTTCTATTATTTTTTAAAAAATACTACTTTATATTAGTTGCAATTATTTTTCTGCAATTCCTATCCCATGCAACCTCCCTCTTTTTAATATTTAATAGCATTATTTAATTGATTTACTAATATTTATAATAGAATATCATAATCTTAAATAAATTAGATCTTTTTTAATTATTAATGATAAAAAATTTCAGTATCTTCAAATTAACAAAATTTCAACAAATCAGAGTTGATGAGTCTTTTATTTATCATCAAACAATTGTATGTACTTTTGATCCTCCTTATCCTTGCATCTTGTTTAAATATAGATTAATAGGAAAAGATAAAGATAGGAACCTTCACTCAATTTTAAATTTGTAAAAAATAATTGATGAGAGCTAGAAACTTGTAAACCAAATATAAACTACTACTACATCTTAAAGATTTACTTCTGACATCAGAAGATGCAGAACTAGTAAATTAGCGATTATAAAATATTTGAAAAATTAAAGAAATTTCAAGGAATTTTTTTGAAATTTTAAATAGTCAGCAGCATCATCTCTACTTTCCAATTAAGGCTATTAAAAATACTTAGAGATATTTGAAATATATACTTATATTTCAAGATCGAAAAGAAGATAGAAGATTTAAATATAGGTATAAATTCTTTTTAGTAGGTTTGACAGTGGGTATGTATAAAAGATTTATTTTTATATATTTTTATAATATAGAAGAATGATAAAGCCAATATTTCAAGCAAAAAAATATTAAAATTAAGATGGTTTTGAGAATTTAAGATCAGAATGTTATTAACTTGATTAAATCATTTTTAAATTTATCAGAGAAATTAAAAAATAATTATAGAAGCAAGATATGCCGATTGATATAAATGCTTTTTACCATTTTAATTAGAAAATCATTTCAATAAGCTTAATGAAACAATTTTTCTGATATACACTTAATTACAAGAAGACAATTTCTAATACTATAAAAACTTAGCACATTATATACTCATTCTTTTGGAAAAAAATGTCAATAAAATAATTATTTTTACTATTATGTGGAACACCGTTAAAAAAGTCGAATTCCTGCCATCCCGTTATAAAATAATATAATTTATTTTGCTCTTAAATTTTCAATTTCATGGAATAAAAGATAAATAATCTTCGCGATTGGCTAGTAGACAAGTCGTCGAATCTTGAAATATTTATCTTCTACATTGTACCTTTTCAGCAACATTATTGAATTGTTATATCTAATTTTACTCAAGATAGCCTAAATTCCTAATGCATTAATTTCTCAAATATATATCTTCATTATTCCATGCGAAAAGTTTAAAGATGAAAATAATTTCTAATTTCATCATCGTCTAGACTTAAATATTATCTTTATGCTAATTCTTTATGCCATTTGAATTTGAAGTTGAAGCAATTCAAAAATTATTTTTAGAGCCTTTTAAATTAGATATATGATTATGATTCATATTTGTAAATAATTTATAATCATGATATATTGTTAAGTTAAACATTATCTGATTTAAGTTTAAGGCTACAACCATCTTATATAATGGATAGCCATAATATTTATATTTATATATTCAATTTATGAAAATGATGATTTATCTTTATTACTTAAGTAAAATAATTCAGAATTTAATTTTTTATAATTTAAATTTAAATTAATTCTTTTGGGTTTGATTAAAAATGCAAGTAATTTCTAAAAGTGATTTCAATTAAGTATTTTATTTGATTGATTAATCAACTAATTATAGCTTAAAAATAAGCTTGCTAAATAACATTAATATAAAATTTCTTCAAGTTTCTTTTATCTATAACCTATTTCAATAATAAAATTATTCTCTAAAGAAAAATAACTTATCATGCTTCTTATAATTAAATTTGTAGACGTCTTTATCTGCCTAATCTAACATAAGATAATTGTTTAAAAAATTTCATACCTGAATTCAATCATATTTTATGTTAGAATAAAATCTAAGTATTATTTTTTGAGATATTAATCATTTTTAATCTATAAGTGTAATTTTGTAAATCCTTAAGAGTCTCTAATATTCTCTATGCTTCTTTTAAGGAACTTTAATATTCATTAAAAGGAAACATCTCATTACCATTTTACTCCTTGAATCATAGTAAAAAAGGTCACCAAAAAAAGGAATTTTCTACTATGTCTAAAAAGACTCCGACTACCCATAGTGAAAGATAAAAGAATTAATGTATTTGGGATATAAATAAAATTATAATTACTGAATAAGATCTTTTTTGATATTATCTAATTAAATTTAAATTATATCTTATGCAATTTATATCATAAATTGGAAAATTATAATTCACAAAGAGGTCTTATAAATTATAAAAAATCTAAAAATTAAATAAATATTATTAGATGATATTATTCTTGAATAAGTGCAAGCAAAAAGTGCTAGATTTCTTGGGAGATATTTTATTGATACTTTTTATATTGGCTCATTTTCTCATTTAATAGAAGGAACTCTCTTCTTATATGTTAAATTTTTTCTTTAACTAAAATATAAATTTTCCCTCATTATTCCTTTTTTTATATTATTCATCATATAAGTTTATTGTATGTTATCAGGCTATTTTTGATGTAATCTATAATAAATCTACTTTGTTAAAAGAAAAATATGCGATTAGTACTTTTAAACATTCTTAAGTAAATCATGAATAAGTAAAAATATAGTAATATAAATATTTATTTGAAGAAGTAAACAAAAAATAAAGCGATCAAACTTTTAAACAGTCTAATTAACTACTAGTTTCATTCACTCTTGAACACTTAATCAGATCAAAACCAAACCCTTAAAACAGGAAGACAAATTAATTTTGAAAGACATATTATTAAATATCAGAAAAAAACTAATAAAATCCTGAACCCTAAAGAAGAAGCGAAAGAATTTCCTGTTAGAAAGGAATTGAAGGATTTTAATATTTGAGATTATTGATAAATATCCTTAATGGAGATATAAATTTTCCACATTAACAAAAGAGGAATGTCAAATCTTTGTTTTTATGCAATAATATTTTTAATTTCATTAAAATATTAAGAAAACTGAAAACTCAAATTTATTTGTTTTTGATCACTTAGGATCTTAAAATAATATTATTATTTCTAAATATTTTGATAACATTCTTTTTTTAAATAGAGAAGTGGGAACTTTTAAGAAACATTACTTAGTTAATAAAATTTCAAGAAGTATATTATTTGGCCCCACATTTATTATAAACTTAGAAAAAATTCACAAAGACTTATTTATTATCATAAACAGGACATACAACCTTTTCGTTTCAAATTTATACTATTCTATAAGAATTATTTTATTCTACAAATTTATTAGGTATGTTATTAACGAATCATCATACCCTCTAACAAATTTCAGGCCATCTTAGCATCTTTCAAATCAATCTTTCTCATTCAAAAAGTCTCAATAATTATCACACAATAAAACCTATAAATAAAATCATATCATTGCTGAATTGGGCGGATAATTATACTTTTTCCCTTGCTTACGAAAAATAATTAAAGTTTTACTAGAATTGACTATCTTTTAATTAACTAATTTTAATTTAAATAACATTTATAATTCAATATTATCTAAAATGAACATACAGGTATATCATGAATATAATACGAAAATATAACTTGCTGTTGATTTAACTACTATTTCAATTTCATTTTTATAATTCTTCAACATAAATCAGTCAATTTACATGAAAATCTGATCTCAAGTTTATTCAAATAAATGGAGTTATAGTTGTAGAACTTCATTTAAGTAAAATAGTGTTGTAGTCAATTCATCTAATGATTTAAATTTATTAATCATTTTACCTTATAATTATGGATTAAATTTAATATATGAACTATTTGATTGATCAGAATTTTGTCCAATCTAATAGATGCAAGATCAAACATTTCTTCTTTGTATATATCTCAAAAAATCTTACTAAATAACAATTGGTAATAAAAATAAATAAAAATAGAATTCGCAATCATTATTATATAATTATGATATATAACAATGATTATTTGGAATATTTCATTTTAATATTAACATTGTTTAGAATTTTATTTTTGTTTGTAATATTATTACATAAATTTTTTAGTTCCTTTAAAGAATTATCACATTCCGCATTAATGAATAAGGATATTCTTTTTTATTTTTTTTATAATTATGCCATGATTATTAATTCGATAATTCTTAAATCTATGTCAATCTTAAATAAATAATTATTTGATATTTAAAGTACCTTTTGATGGGATAGTACATATTTTGTTATCAAAAACTATGAGAAAAGATATAAAGAATATTAAACAACCCACTAAAATACTTTGCTAATTTTCAACGCCTAAATAGTATGTTTTTATATCAAAGTGCAGAAAAAATAAAAGAAAATTAAAAACTAATAAGTATATTAAAATTTGAAATAAAGTATAAATGTCAGAAAAATATGTTTATTTTATAATACAATAAAATTTAGAAATTTATTAATAGAGATCTCAAAATAAAGCCTACTCTAAATTGATAAAAATCCCACGATTGCTTAATTAATCATTAGGTAAATTTTTAACAATTAACTCAATACATCGTTTTAGTTTAATTATTTGAGTTTTAATTCTCTGTTCATGTAGAAAAAAAGTGTTTTAAGCTCTGCAATATTTTAATCAGTTGTCTAAAATTTATTCCTTCTCTTTATTCCAAAAATAGACAACAAAAAAGAGAATAGAGGAAAATTATTTAAAAGAGAATAAAAAAAATTTTGTTATAAAGTTTTAAATTTTCATTTCTGATATTAAAATAATTACAGCTATCATTTTAAATATATATGATTAGATTAATTTGAAGATTTTCATCAAAAGAGAATGATTGTCATTTTAAAATTGCGGTAAATTGGAATTCTTATCATAGTTCCGATTTTAATATCTATTAACATACAAATTCAATTATTATTAGTAAAACTAAGGTATTATATCAGAGAAACTTTTGTAATTTCCTATTCTCATGTATAATGCAACAATAATTTTACAAGTAAATTATGCGTAAATGTCATTATTCTTTGTAGCATTCTTTTTTTAGTTCACTTCACAAAAAACACATATTACTTTATGAATCTTTATAGATATTTATCCCTTCATACTTTTTTGATTTATTTATCAAAAATATGTCTTTTTGTGTTTTTAATTTCTCTCTTATAAATTCAGTTTTATACTTAAATTTTGATATTTGAAAGCTGAGAAATTCCATAGATATTAGTTGTTGAGTTGTGTTTTGCAACTTTATTATAAATAGGATAATTAGTTGTTTACAATAACCAAAAATTATAGCTTTTGTTTTAGACTCTTTGAATTTCTATATTAATAAACAATAATTCACCTATTAATGGCATGAGTCCGCACTATTGGTGTCTTTTTCAAAATTTAGGAGAATATAAAAAAATAAAAAATTAAGAAGCCTTTTTAAAGGTTGTTTGTTTTTTTCACCAAATTCCATATCAAAAAAAAAATAATTCAAAGTTTTATTTATAACCGAAAGTTATCAGCCAATTAAGAATATATTCAGAAAAATAATTTGATTTTCATTTAATTTAAATACTGTTCATAAAATTTTATAAATATCTTTTTAGCATAGTATTGAGATAAGTTCAAAAGTTGAAAATGAACTTTTCTTGTAGAAAGGAACTATATGGTAAGATTCAAAGAAATTCTCTTGGATAGAATGGTGAATAATTAAGTGGGATATGTGCAGAATCTAGGATCTTAAGGTTAAATATCAAAATGATTGCTAGCACTAAAAACAAAAGCAATAAGAAGAACTTCACCCTTTTTTATTTATCCAATGTGTTTAATAGTGTAGCTAGGAAAGGACTTTTAAAAATGGTGAAGTATATTCATTTTATGGATATGGATAGTCTGGAATTTTGTTTAAAGTCTATGATAATCTTTACATCTATTATCCAATCAAGAAGGAAAAGATTATGTTAAAAAAGGGGTTGCCAAAGGCTCTGTACTAAGCCCCTTCCTATTTAATATATTTTTTCACTATGTTCTTGAGGACTTCAAGACAAGCTTGGAAGTTTACAAAGATAGTTTAAGCAAAAGATATACTAAGAGTAAAAGATTTTTTGATGAAGTTCAAATTTTTGTTTATGATGATGATTTAGCTATATTTGCGAATTAGGATATATTGAAATCAAAAATATTTAAATTTCAGAAACTTATGAAATTTTTGTGGATAGTAATTGCCTTTATTATTATTAATTGAATATCAAATCAGAAGAAATCTATTTTTATAAAAATTATAATCATTTTGGTTTTGGAATTTAATAATAAATAATTTACGGATAATCAAATAATTTAATTTACTAATAATAATCAAATCCAATTTAGATAGAATTTGACCATTATTTGAATTAACTCCAACTGATTAAAACCTTATCATAAATAAAAAAATTACCATTTCATTAAATTAAATCAGAACGATATATTATTGGCAATAAAAAGTGAATACTAAATTGATTTTATATCTCTTTTAAGGTAAAAATTTTTATACAGCTGTAAGCTATTTCCTTAGCATCTCAATTGATTGAATTTTGCCATAAATTAAAATAAACAAATAGTATATTATGATTGGCTAGAAGAGATCAAAGTTATATAAATTTGATAAAATTGAAAACTAAATTATTTCAATTGCTATTTCTGAAATAAATTTTAAATTGTATAATTCAGAAGACTTTGGATATAAAGCTAAAAATCTGTCATTTACATCAGATGTTTAATTTATAGTATATCAATAAGATGATCATGTAACCCTCACTCCAAATATATTCCGAAAATTTGTAAGAATAAATGGATGTATTATTTTTTCCAGAAAGCAATTATTTAATAACTTTTGATAAAAAAGAACCTTAGATACGAATAGACGAATATTACATAAATACTTAGAATGCATCAGCTTTATATAATATAAAATTGCTTTTACCAATACCAATCCTTTAAAATTAAACAAGAAAAATGTATAATTAATAATATGTTATTTCAAAAATTAAATCAAATATTATATGTGTTTATGACATAAAAGAACTTCAAAAAGATATCTATGATAAACCCCTTTGTAATAATATCCAAGATGTTCATTACGCAGGCCTTCTTCCTAAAAAACAAAATTTTATTCTCTATCATTAAATCAAATTTGAAAGCCTAAGATTTAATGGAGAAAAATTAATTATTGAAGATCCTTTTGCATATTGGTAAAATTGTCTATCTTAGTAAGCCTAATGTTAATCTACAAATTTTCGCAAATACAATAAATGTGATTTTGTAAAATTAGATAATTCTTTGGGAATTATATTTTAGTCTTAAGGTGTAATTTTCATATATGTTTTGAAAGATTTCAAAACTTATGAGTTATTGTATAAAGATTTTATAAATTAAGATTAACTACAAAGTATTAGATTTTATGTAATTCAAATGGTACTAAAGTAGGTTTATTCCAAAAAACAAAATAATTTAACAAAAGATTAAATTTTTATTTTGGATAAAAGTTAAAGGGCATTGATTGATGCAGTTTACCTAACTAGAGATAAAATCTTTTGTGAATCCCGAGAACGATGAGAAAATATAAATTGATAACAAATATAATCCTATTGGTGTTAAGCTATATTTATATTTATTCTGAGGATTAGAATCATTTACAAATATATAATGCTTAAGATGGGACAAGAGGCCATAAATAGCCTATTTATGAAGTTTTCATTCATCTTAATGAGAATTTGTAAAATTATTAAGCTACCTTGATACAATTACAGTTATTCAATTTAAATTGGCAAAGATTAGATTCAAATAAAAATTTAATATAATAGGTTAATCATTTCTTAAATTAGTAGTATTTCTACTGTAAATAATGATGGAAAAAGATATATTATTGTTTTAAATTCAGAATAATTTCTTAAACACTATTCTAAAGATATAATTCTTTTTAAAAAACATACAATAACTAGCCCAAATGGGGGATATACAACTTAAGGGATGATTCAAAAAGGAATTGTATAATCAATACATAAATTAATTTGCTGTAGCTTTTTCAAATAATGGTGAACAATAATAGGCTTAATGTTGAAACATCAGACATGCCAAATGGTCTTGGAATAAACCAATTAAACATTAATGTACACTTAGGATGATTCAATACTTATTTCAAGTTCTGAATACAATATAATATCATTTTGGTATATTGAAGATAATGTTATAGAATATAGAAAACAGATTTAAGAAATTTAGATCGACTTCAATACTTTATTTATAAATTTTTCTCCTAATGGATTTGACATAGCATTAGAATTATAAGGAGATTTTATACAAATCTTAACAAATGATACATCAAAATTTTATTCTTAGAATTAGAATTAAAAAGTATAATATTTATTATATTATAGTACATCGGTTCTTATAAATCATATCCATAATTGCAATTATTCTAGCCTTGAATAGCATTTTAGGAAATTCCATCATTGAAGATAAAGGCAACAACTTATTGATTTATCATTTTAGTGAGATTATGTAACAAGAATATGAAATTGTAACATAGTAAGATGATTGAATACCATATTAATAATTACATTACAATCATAATCAAAAATATTTTCCTAAAAAATTGATTAAATACAAACACAAATATATCATACAATTTTCAAAGGGGGAGGCATTACATCTCAGTCTTGACCCCGATATCACAATTTCATCGAAAACACCATACTTGTTTTTTCACAAAATATTGAGTATATACAAACACACATATATCATACAAGCTAAGCTAATTGGTGAACACTTTAGGTCTACATCTTACTAGTTGCAAGAAAACCAGGAGACAAATTTGGGGTCTCCAAAAGTACATCTTTCAGTTTTTCAAAGGGGGTATTGCATCATGAAGCTAACACCACTAATTTAAAATCACTTTCATAGTATTTTAATAGAATATTGAGTATAGACTTACAGAGACATACCATATATCAATTAATAGAGGGTATAAAAATAAGCATAATTATTAACACCTTAGATTCACATCTTTTTTAGTTTCATTGAAAGTTTGGATGTAATTTTCATAAAAGTAACGTCTGAGAGGTCATACAAAGTTTTGGACGTAAACATTAAATGTCTTAAAAATAGTGCACCATTTTCACAACCTAGGAGTCATACTCAGAGAAACAGAAAAATCTAACATAGAACTCTTACAATCTATTTTGGCTCTCTATTTCCTGTCTTAACATTCCAAAATCGCATAATTGGATTGAATTATCAAAACTACATATTTCCATATTTCGATGATTACAGAAACACATTGATCTAACATAATTATATGATCCAAATTGTCTTTTTGTCATTATGTTTTTAGAGTAACCAGCACCACAATATGATAATATATTTATATAAGGAGAAATAAACTGAGTTAACCTTTTATCTATGGTTGCCTCCTATTATTCTCATTTAATACATACAGATAGATAGACTTATTACTACGACTAGAAATTAATATCGTAATACCATTAGAGAAACCGACTGACATTACCAAATTTTAATGACCATTAAATTTGGCTTCCTCTTATCCTGATATACTAGATGCTTCTGTATTTCAATCAAGAATAAACAGATTGATCTAACATCATCCTTCTTAGCAATTTAGGCAGTTAGATTTATCTATATTACAAAAATTTTATATTTCTATCAGATGAGAAACAGATTGAATTTACCCAATTATCATGACCATATTACTTGGCTTCTATTAACATTATTTCGCATCTTTATAGGCAGAAAGAGTGATTCCCACTATCAGGAGCTTCTATATTTCTCTACAGACTTACATCACTCAATTCTTACGGCCATTTAAATTTGCTTTCTATTATTCTGTTTTAACATCCTTATAGACAATTAGAATCATCTCTACTATCAGAGTCTAATATATTTCTATTAAAGACTAAAATTACCCTATTCTTATGGCCATCTTTGAAGATCTTGGAGTGTCATTAGAAATTGCCTTTAAGCCTTACTATTCATATTTATTAATAGTAATTACAAAAGTTCTACTCATTTTTCCGTCAACCTTTTTACTCATTATTTCACTTATCCAAGTGTTAAAATCATGCATTTTACATATTTTAAGGAGTGAACAAGATTTTGTTCAGCCATATTCCAATTTTTTAATTGTTAACTGAAATAGTCAATTATATGTGAAAAAGGAAGAATGAACGAATCAATCATAGCACTCAAATTATGTATAAATTAAAATATTCATATAAAAATAATATTCAAGAATCAAGCTATGCAAATATTGAAATGAATTCTCAATGGAATATTCTACCTCTATTATCATCAATTCCAATTATACTTCACATTTACTAAAATGCATAGGATGATTTTATCGATTTTTGCATGTTTAACTTAAAATTAGAGTCATAGAAATTCAATATTAAAAATAAAAAAAAGAAAATGCAGAGCACTTTTTAAGATAAGTAAGCTCTAGCTGACATCTTTGATTAAATAAAAGATGTAGATAAGCAGATGCTCGGTGTCATATTAGAAATATTAAGAAAGGAAAAAGTGTAAGGCTGCATTGGATATCTTTTGGATAATGGAAATCAAACATAGTTGAGATAATAAATCTTTCAATAAGGAAAGAATTTAATAAAAGTTGATAATGGATAGCAATTATATGATGTTAGAAATAACATCTTAAAAATTACTAAAGTCTTAAAACAAATAAAAGATCATTGTTTCAATAAGTTAGATTATTCTAATGAAGAATAGGAAGAATCTATAAAGGCTCTAATTAAAAAAATAAAATATGATAAATAGATCATAGAATTTTTGTTATTTTTAGTTCACCTCACATCTAAAGATGACACTTTTATATAAAGTGGATCTAATTCATTACATATCTTAGTCTAGATGAAATTTGACCTTAGAAACAAAAATTTTGAAAAAATTAAGATCTAAAATATTTCTTTAGTTGGAGCAAATTTTGTTCGGTGTAATTTTAGTGAATCTTAATTTAATAATGTTAATATAAGTGGAATAAATTTGAATGGAGCGCTATTATTAAATTGTAAATGGACAAATTTAAAAATCCTTGAATTAAATAAATTTAATGGCCATACCAATTTAGTAAACACAGTTTGTTTCTCTGCCGAAGGAAAAACAATAGCATCTGGTAGTGTTGATAAGTCTATCCGTCTTTGGGATGTCAAAACAGGATAATAAAAAGCCAAATTAGATGTTCATACTAGTGATGTCAACTCAGTCTGTTTCTCTCCTGATGGAAACACATTAGCTTCTGGTAGTGGTAATGGGTCTGTCTTATTATGGGATATTAAAACAAGAAAGAAAAAAGCCAAATTATTTGGTCATAATTATAAGGTCAACTAACTCTGTTTCTCTCCTGATGGAACTACATTAGCATCTGGTAGTGATGATAACTCTATCCGTTTATGGTAAGTTAAAACAGGATAATAAAAAGCCTAATTTAATGGCCATACCAGATAAGTAAACTCAGTCTGTTTCTCTCTTGATGGAAACACATTAGCTTCTGGTAGTGGTGATAAGTCTATCCGTATATGGAATGTCAAAACAGGATAATAAAAAGCCAAATTAGATGGTCATAGTAGTTATGTTATGTCAGTTTGTTTCTCTCCTGATGGAAACACATTAGCTTCTGGTAGTAGAGATAACTCCATTCATATATGGGATGTCAAAACAGGATAATAAAATGCAAAATTAGATGGTCATAGGAATTATGTTATATCAGTCTGTTTCTCTCCTGATGGAAACACATTAGCATCTGGTAGTGATGATAACTCTATCCGTATATGGGATGTCAAAACAGGATAATAAAAAGCCAAATTAGATGGTCATCGTAGTTATGTTATGTAAGTTTGTTTCTCTCCTGATGGAAACATATTAGCTTCTGGTAGTGGTGATAACTCTATCCGTCTATGGAATGTCAAAACAGGATAATAAAAAGCCAAATTAGATGGTCATGAGCATTCTGTAATGTCAGTCTGTTTCTCTTCTGATGGAAACAAATTAGCATCTGGTAGTTATGACAACTCTATCAGTATATGGGATGTCAAAACAGGATAATAAAAAGCCAAATTAGATGGTCATAGTAATTATGTTAGATCAGTCTGTTTCTCTCCTGATGGAAACACATTAGCATCAGGTAGTTATGATAACTCTATCCGTTTATGGAATGTCAAAACAGGATAATAAAAAGCCAAATTAGATGGTCATAGTAGTTATGTTATGTCAGTTTATTTCTCTCCTGATGGAAACACATTAGCTTCTGGTAGTGGTGATAAGTCTATCCGTATATGGGATGTCGAAACAGGATAATAAAAAGCCAAATTAGATGGTCATAGTAGTTATGTTATGTCAGTTTTTTTCTCTCCTGATGGAAACACATTAGCATCTGGTAGTTTGGATTACTCTATCTTTTTATGGGATGTCAAAACAGGATAATAAAAAGCCAAATTAGAGGGTCATACTAGTTGGGTCTTATCAGTTTGTTTCTCTCCTGATGGAAACAAATTAGCTTCTGGTAGTGGTGATAAGTCTATCCGTCTATGGAATGTCCAAACAGGATAATAAAAAGCCAAATTAGAGGGTCATACTAGTTGGGTCTAATCAGTTTGTTTCTCTCCTGATGGAAAAAAATTAGCTTCTGGTAGTGATGATAAGTCTATCCTTCTATGGAATGTCCAAACAGGATAATAATAAAAAGCCAAATTAGATGGCCATACTACAACTGTCTA